CTGTATTTTCAGTCTCCAATTGTTTGTTGCTTTTATAGAGAAGTAAAATTGGTTTCTGGATATTGATCTTGCAGTGTACAACCTTGCCAAAATCAATTATGTCAGGCCTACTGGTTTATTTATTTATTTACTTATTTTTAAGATTCTGTAGGATTTTCTACAGAAGTGATTTTGTCTCCTCGGAATAAAGGTATTTCTGCCTCTTCCTTTCTAATCTGCTGCCTAGTGACCAGAGCCTTCAGCATCATTAAGCAGAGGCAGAGACAGCGGATGTCTTTGCTTTGTTCCTTATCTTACGGCGAAAGCTCTCAGTTTTCATCATCAGGTAGCTGTTAGCTGTAGGCTTCCTGTAAATGACCTTCACCAGGGGAGTTTCTTCTGTGGCTCCTGAGAATTGGAGAAGGGATAGATGGATTCAATCCAGTGCTTTTATACATCCATATTTTTCTTTTTTAGTCTTTTCTGATAGTCAAATTTATTGATTTTCATTTATTTTTATTAATTAATTTTAAATTACATTTATTTATCTATATCTACCTACATATCTGTATATTTATTTGAGTGTGTGAGTGTGGGCTTATCATAGTACTTCTGAGTATGGAGGTCAGAGGACAACTTGTGAGAGTTGGTCCTCTCCTACCATGTGGGATCCTGGAAGGGAACTCAGGTCCTCAGGCTTGGCTGTAAGCACGTTCACCAGCTGAGCCGTCTCTCTGACCCAGATTTTCAAACATTAAACCAAAGTTCATATTCCTAGGATAACTCCACTTGGTCATGATGTATGATCCTTTTTATATTTTATGGGGTTTGATCTTCTAAAATCACATTAGTTGTTATTGCATCTGTGTCCATGGGGGAAACTGGTCTATAGCATCATTTTCTCATAATGTCTTTATCTTGTTTTCTGCCATGTTATTGTTGTCTTCATAGAATGAGAATTTTTTTCCTCTTCAGGTTTATGGACAATTTTATAGGACAAGGATTGTAGTTATTTTTGCTTTAAATATTTGTTAGCATTTACCATTGTGATCATCTGGGCCTAGAACTTATTTGGGGGAGGGAGTTTTAACTTCAAATTCAGTTCTACAATTAAAATAAATCTATGTGTGGACAAGTGCACAAAAACAAGAGGCAAAGGCAGGATTCCTGTAAGTTTGAGGCCAGCCAAGCCTGGTTCTCGTAGGGAGTTCCAGCCCAGCCAAAATTCCATAATGAGACCCTTTCTCATCCCTGCCCCTATGAGATATTAAGACTATTCAGCTTTTTTTTTTCTGCTTTGCTTTGTTCTTTGAGTCAGAGTCTCTCCGTGTAGCCCGAACCCACTTTGTAAATTAGTCAGTTCTCAGACTGAAAGAGATGACAACCTTGAACTTGGCCCTTCAACTTCCACATCTTGAGTGCTGAGATCAGACGGGTGGACCTCCTCCACTGTCTCAGACCGGAAATACTGTGCCTAGAATACTGTATAGAGAAACATAATTAAAAAAAAAAATATGTATATGTGTGTGCCTGCTTGTCTGTATATACATTGTGACTGCAGATGCCTGAGACGGTCAAAGGAGGGTGTCAGGAGTTTGGAACTGTAGTTACACACAGTTGCGAGCTGCCATGTGGGTGCTGGGAACTGAGCCCCGATCTTCTGCAAGAATGGCAAGTGCTCTTAACCACTGAGACATCTCTCCAGCCTCATTTAAAAAAAAAAAAAAGTTAGTTTATTTTCAAGGTGTCTCTTTTGAGAAAATCTTCTCAAGATTTTCTTGAGAAATCTTTTGGAAGTTTGTTGCTTGTGTTAGAAAAACAATAAAATGAAGAAAGAAAGTTAGTTACTGTGGCAACTTTGAATATTCATACTTTATCCTCTATTAATTTATTTCTCATATTTAAAAATACCACCTTCTCTTTCATGTTGTGTTTTGGGTAATTTCCTAGGCTTATTTTTCAATTCCTTATTTACTCTTCAGTGTCAAATTTGATGTTTAGCACACTTTAAAAATAACTGTCTGAGATGGGTGGTGGTGCACACCTTTAATCCCAGCACTCAGGAGGCAGAAGTGGGTGGATTTCTGTGAGTTCGAGGCTAGCCTGGTCTACAAAGTGAGTCCAGGACAGCCAAGGCTACACAGAGAAACCCTGTCTCCAAAAAGCAAAAAACCAAACCAAACCAACAAACCAACCAAACAAAAAACCCGAAAAACAAAACAAAAAAAAAAAACCCAAAACAAAACAAAAAACCAACTCTTTGTTGCTATAAGTTAGTTTATATATCCCAATGTTTGTTCTGTTTAAATGAATTTTGCTCTTGCTGGACCTTAGAAGGGACTAACTTCTGAACTCTGCTCACCCCTAGCCAGAACATTACGGGTGACCTTTACTATTTCAACTTTGACACCGGGCAGTCCATCTGGGACCATCCATGTGACGAGTACTATCGGAAGTTGGTGATCCAAGAACGGGAGAAGTGGTTGGCTCCTGGGGCTATTAAGAAAAAGGACAAGAAAAAGAAAAAGGAAAAGAAAAACAAGAAGGACAAAGAGACCTCCAGAAGTCCCCTGGTAAGCCAGCCTAAGGCCAGCACCTAGACAGGGCTGCAGCCCAAGGAGGTGTGGGGACCTGCCAGGGCTTAAAACAATAGTGAATTAGGGGCAGGACATTGTCTCATTTTACCTGGTAGATTTTTCTTTCAGTCTCTCGCAGTTGTTACTTCTGTAAATAATTTCTTCTCTCTCCTTGGGAAGCACGAGTTAGATGACAGGGTGAGCTCAGCGGGGCAAGGTCCGTGTTTCGCATTTGATGAAATGGGGAACAGAGACAGGAGTGGTTGAGTTGACCTCAGGCTGCCCTGGTGTGGGGTCATCATCTTAAAATTATCAGAGCATCAGTGTCTTCAAGTTTTAAAAGAAAAGCTGGGCTTGGTGCTGCATGCGTGCAGTCCTAGTACTTGGAAGGCTGAGGCTGGAGGATCACAAGTTTGAGGCTAACCTGTAACTGATAAAGCCATCCATGGTCTTTGTGTCCAGTGTCCTTGGCTAGCACAGGGTAACAGCAGTTAAACTGTATCATACTCACTTGGTCTCCAGTAGCTTCTGGGCTTAGTTCTGAGGGCTCTGCCCATTATTTATGTGTCCCTGTGGGAGGTGGAAGCTATCACCCTTACTTCAGGAGGAGCTGAGTGAGAGCCTTATAAAGTAAGGTCCTGTGGTTCAGGGCAGACTGTTCCCTTCATGCACGAATGGGGCAGCCAGCCTGAAGAAGCAGCTGGGTTCAGCCCTGTGCGGAGCATTTGGAAGACTCTTTCAACTCTCAGTGGTCCAGTTGTTTTGTCCTTTTGATTTGGGGGTCTCATCTGGCACTGCCCCCAACCCCCAGGATCCCAGGGCCACACACGGGCTAGGCAGGTGTTCTACTGCTGAGCCCCATGCCCAAACCCACTTCTTCTTCCCTGAGGTCAGTTCTGGCCTTGAACAGTTGTTAAGTCGTTCAGTCCTTCATCATGTTCATGTTCTGTGGCTGCTCTGCACCCCTTGCAGCCCCAGCTTTATGTCCAGTTCTGAGAAACAGGGTGAGAAGCCCGATCCTATCGGGAATGAAGACAGGCGCTTTCCAAATTGAATCTTAGACTTTGCCAATACCACCATGTATTTGAAAAGCAGAAAGTGATGTTGGGACTTTCATTAGCCCAGGATAATCTAAAATGATATTTTGGCGTCTGGCAGGCTCCAGCCCGAACTCAAGGTGGGCTTGGGTGACAGCTGTGGCTTTGGATGTGTGCTTGAATCCCAGGAGCTCCGTGTTAGAAGGAGCCCCTTTGGTAGTTCCAGGAAAGAAGGGATGGCTGGATAGCCCCGGGTCCTCTGTGGGACTGTGAGGGCTCAGGACAGTCACCTCAAGCTTGAGTTTGTCCAGTGGTCAGGCCCGAAGCTCATGGGCTCCCTGGGCCCTCTGGAAATGTGTGCTCCCAGCTGGCTGGTTGGTGTCTTTGCACGGGGTGTTGATTGTCGAGAGGCTTTCTTGTGGCCCCAAGGTTCTGTGACAGAATGTCTTTAAGCAGTGCCAACTTGTGCTGGTGGTAGAAGGCACTTGACTGAGTTTCCCCAGCTTCCTCTCTTCCTCCCAGGACATTTCTGGGAGTCCTTGATAAGGCTTTTATACAAGTCACTGATCACGAATCTGAGGGCTAGGGGAGCTTAGGGATGGATCGCATGGCTGTAGTTTACCGGTATCTTCCAGGTGACTGTGGTGTCTTCATGGCTGCTCTGTAGGAGCCCAGCATAGAAACAGACAGGCTGTTCTGGTGTACCTATGGCTCTGCTTCTCTTCCCTGTCACTTATACTGCGCTCTCTCTCTTTCTTGCTTGCTCTCTTGCTCTCTGACTCTGTCTCTGTCTCTCTTTGTCTTGGTACTAGAACCTAGCAAAGGGCATATATTTAGCCTAAGGGGGTTTTGCCCTTTCTTTTCTCTCCCTGATTCCTGCTTTACCTTAAGGAGGGTGGTTTTCTGCTGTGGGCCTTGGGCTGAGGTGGCAAGACTCCGTTGGAGGGTCAGTCTTAGTATTCTCTGCATGTTTATATACCCATCTAGGAGACACAGCCTGAGCAGGGACTTCTGCCTCCTTCCTCCTTCCTCCGTGGCCTGTCCCCTCTCCCAGCACCTGGGCTTGCCGATCTGGACCTAGATCAAGAGGTGCAGGCTAGAAATGAGGCCTCCTTTAAGAAAAGGAGGAGCCCGTGCGTGCTGGGCGACACACCGTGGCCTCTCATGGGTGCCCTTCCTGGCAAGCTGCAGCCACTCTCCAAAGGCCAAGCTTCTCGAACCCACCAGATCTTTGCTGATGTGGAGAAAATCTTAGGCAGGCCTCCCGTCCAGTGCAAGACAGAATTAGGAGACCCACAGGGTCTGGAGTCAGCACAGAAGGGAACAGAGAAAATCTACCTGGGATTTTCAGACTCTGAAATAGAAAAACTGGAATTGAGGACCAGACCGCAGAAAGCCAGCCCTGGGGGTGTTCAGAGCACCGAGCCACTCCAGAATGGGCAGGGTGTGTCAGAATGCAGGAGCCACACCCCTGTCCACCCCAAGCTTTCCGAAGCTTCCAAAGGCCTGCATCTGCTAGGGGAGCACCACAGCCACAGCATAGCTACACTGAGCTGCACTGGCCCCGGAGGGGACAAAGGTCAGAGCCCCGTTCCCTTGCCATCCTCTGAGGAGGAGTACTCCCTGTCCCTTTGTTCATCTGACCACATGCTGCCTGCCAGGAAGAGCAAGCTGTTTTTACTAGAGAGCAGCCCAGCCGAAGACCTGAGCTGGCAGGAGATTCCTGGGGAAGGTGGGGACCTGGGCAGGGGGAGGTGGAGGAGAGAGCCTCCAGGACCATGGATGGGACAGGTCTCCAAGCTTGTCAACAAGGACACCCCAGGGAGCTGCAAGGAAACAGAGCCTGTCACTCCCAAGCTTGCAGAGGCCTCAGCCGAGGATTCACCACAGGCACTCCCACCGATGCCACCTGACACCATGGCATCAGAACCAGTCCCAAAGCCCCCTTCAGGGGAGTCTGCCAATGAAGACAGGCATAGTCCACCAGAGTCTCCAGAGCCTGCCAATGAAGACGGGAAGCCTAGTGTGGCCGGGGCTGACTCCGATAGCAGTAGTGGAGGGGGCAGTAGCCTGGCCTCACCCCTGGGCTCACAGATCCTAGGTGAGGTAAACAATTTCCCCTGGGACCTTCAGAGTCCCCAGGGGTCTGTTCCTGTCATGGGCCAGTCAGGCCCAGGGCCTAGAGATGCACATTTCTGCCCCTTCCTGGTGCCACAGTTGTCCCACATGCAGAGCTCTGCCGAGGAGCAGTCTGAGAGTGAAGACTATTCTGAGGACCAGAGATTCTACCAGCACATCCTGCAGATGGTCAAGATCTCCAGGCGGCTAGAGGGCCTGGGGCTGCCTGAGAACATGCAGGAAATGCCGTGCAAAGAAGTCGCAGGCATGGTCTGTTGCATAGCCGCTGAGTCTTCCAGGATGTCTAGTGAGGGTGAACCCAAGGCCACCAGCACTCTAGAGAGGGACCCCGGGTTACTGCCTTGGGAACCAGAGCTGCTGCAGCATCCTCAGGAAGTAGTCTCTGCACCTGCTGGGCAGGAGGCCTCTCAGCAAGCACAGTGCCAGCCAAGCAACGACCTCAGGCAGGGGCTAGTCCAGCCGAGTTCCAACGTTGGGCTTGCTGCAGAGCCTAGCAAGATGCAACTTCTCAACCAGGTAGGCTTCTTAGGAAGTGGGGCCTAAAGCCTGGGGGGGGGGTCCTCCCCTCCCTGAGCTCAGCAGGGAGGGAGCAGGTGGAGCTGCATTGCTCTAGTGCTCAGGCCCTACCTTCACTCAGTAACTGAGTGTCCATTAACTACCCAAAAGGCTCCCTGATGAGATGACCTGGCTTACAAGTTCTGCTCCATCATCTGCAGGCTGGAGCTGAGGTTATCTACTGATTCCCTTCTCGAGATGTAGCCATGCTCATGGGCAGTGCGCATGCTTTGAAGGGACTCTTCTGAGGGTGGATGAGGTGGTCCTTGTACAGAATCCAGGCTCCTTCTGGGGTTTGGGAAGCCTTCCCTGCCCATTGATACGTAGGTAGTCTTCTCCACAGCTCTGCACTGTCCCTTCGTGGAGGCACACAGCACTAGAGTGACGCTCTCAGGGGGGTCTGTGCCCACAGTCTGCCGCTGCCACCCGGTCAGCTGCTTCTCCTCCTTGCCTCCCAGGGTCCCCAGAAAAATCACATGACTAGCCTCTGTCAGGCTGTGTGGGCCCTGTTTGTGACTTCACTGTCCTACCAGGATTTTCCAAGTGGCGGGGCTTATCTTGGCATTCTTTCACTTTGTTACTTTCGAGATTCACCCAGTTCATTATTGAGAAGTCAAGCTGGGTAGGGACCACGGGTCTCAGTCTGAGTTCCCTAGCTGTTTTGCTGGGGCCCAGCTGAGGCTTTGCCCAGTTGTCCACCCGGCCCCTAATTGCTGTCACGCAGTGGCTCTCCGTTAGTTCTGATAACTAGTGTAGTACTATAAATACCGGATAGGCCACCGATTATCCTGAAAGTTTTAATTATCCCAATGGCATCAAGTTTATCTGCCCTGAAGGACGGCGCGCGCAGCCCCACACTCAGAATTAATGACCATCTGTAGACGACGATCAGCTAGGAGCCAGGGATGTATAATTTCCCTGCTAACCACTGCTTCGGGAAAGGCCCCAGAGAACAAAGCCCTCAGCCTGCCTGTCTCTCTCCCTCAAGCCCCCAGCACGTAAGCAAATTAGCCATGTCAGGAGTCTGTAATTTTCTATAAATACAGCGTGGGAAGGATTTTGCTTGCCAATACGCTTGGGCTGGTGGGAGGGCTGAGCAGGCCAGGCAGGCTCAGTTTTGCTCACAGTCCAGTGGGAGAAACTTCCTGTGCGTTTTCCTACCATAGTCCTAAGGACACATGAAATGTAATCCCGGGCTCAACCCCCTCTCCCCTCTAAGCCTGTGACTCTGGACAGGATTCTTGGCCCACACCCACCTCCGTTTACCCAAGTCAGGTCTCCACATAGTGGGAGAGCCCTCCTTAGGTGGCTGTGGGAATGAGGGGGCCTAGTGTTCGGTGTCACTGGCCGGCTTTCTGTCAGTAGCTTTTCTCTCTGACTAAGATGTTCTAGGAGGGTCATCTCCAGAGGTAAGGACTGGCCAGCAGGGTGGTGACTCTGACCTTGGAGTCCTCACTCTTTTTTTTTTTTTTTAAACTCTTCAGGGGTTAGAGTGGAATGAAATACGTTCTTTGTTTTATATATTGTAAATTGAGAAAAGTTTAAAAGAACATTGTAATTTGTTCCCAGGATGCTATGTTGATCTCTTTTTTTAAGATTGTGTGTGTGTGTGTGTGTGTGTGTGTGTGTGTGTGTACCTGTGTGCAAGCGCAAGTGCTTGTGGAGGCCAGAAGAGAATGTCAAAGGTGGTCTGGGACTGGAGTGGGAGGCAATTACGTGTGAGCTGCCTGAGGTGGGTCATAGGAACTGAATGAACTCAGATCCTCTGGAAGATCAGCAGACTCTCTTAACTATTGAGCCACCTCTCCAGCCCCTGCGCTGGCCTCTTGCTTCTGCTAAGTCAGACGATCATAGATCCTAAGACGGAGCTCTGTAACAACATTGATTCCATAATGTTGCTACAGCCCTGGGCTCCTTACAGAGCCCCCCACCCCACCCCACCCCGTCATCTCATTTGAGCTGCTGAGCAGACCTCACAGGGCCTAGTATGAACCCTCTTCATCTTGAAGATGAAGGAACTGGGGACCTGAGAGGCTGTGAGCAGCCTGAGGGTCCACACATTTAGACCCGGCCTGGATTTTGACTCCAGTCTTCACTGGCATAACGGAAGCCTTCGCTTGGCCCTCCTGAGGATCAGGGAAAGCAAGTCAAAGAGAATGCCAAGGCGCATGCTGAGGTGCAGCAGCCTCCGAGTGCATGCACGGTCCTCCCAGGAGGCCGCACTTTCTTCTGCTGTTTACCTCTGTCTTTGTCACTAGCATGTTGAGACTGCTTTTTCTTGACTCATCAGTTGTCAGTAACTAGGGTTACTAGTTCTAGTAATTAGGGTTTCATCTCTGCCTCCCTATCTTGTTCACTTGTCGTGTGCCCCCAAGTCTTAGCATCTGCCAGATGTGCTCAAGCATACAAGTTAGCAGAATCAGGAAACCAGCCTGGATTTCTCACCCACTTGGCACAATGGTATTTCTGGATGTTGTGTTTCATTAGCAGCCTTCCGAGCGGAGACGGTTTAAACTTGAACGGGCAGAATTTAGATGCTTTATTTTTATATCTGTCTCTGACATCCTGAGAACCTCCTGGTTTCTGGGGTTTGTAACGAGATGTGTTCTGTTGCCCAGGTCCTGGGTTCCCCCTTAGCTCCAGTCCAGGCCCCAGTTTGGGGCCTGGCTCCCTTACGAGGCCTTGGGGATGCCCCACCCTATGTTCTCCGTGGATCTCAGAGCGTGAGCCTGGGGAGCTTGGCAGACTCTGGGCAGCTTGGAGAACCCACACTGGTGAGTCCTTTCTCTGCTGTGCATGTGTGTTGTTACTGTGGGACCTTTTGGGTGTCATACTTGGAACTGAGGCGTGTCACTTACACAAAGCTGTGTCTTCAGAGTTCATCATCTAGTCTGAGAGGAGTCACTCTGCCAGTGGGGGTAGGGTAGGCCACCTGTGCTGACTTCCCCATCATGTGGCTGGGACAGTGGGAGATGGGAAGGGAGTAAGCAGTGTGAATTAGAGTCCAGATCTGTGGACATGGTAGGACTTGACTGGGAGCATGTCGGGATGGTTCTGAAGATCTTCCTGGTGAGTCCTCTGTTCCCTTTCTGTTTCGGAGTCTCCACAGGGTCTCAAGGCTGCTGCTTGTACAAAGGGTCTCTTGGGTTCTGTCCATGAAGGCAAGAATGCTCTGAGCCTCTTGACTTTAGGGGAAAAGACCAATGAGGAGGATGAAGAGGAAAGTGACAACCAGGTAATGGTGAGATTCTCTTTCAGGCCTGGAAACCCTCTGGCCATATGTTTGTTTGTTTGTTTGTTTTTTAATTGTGGTAAAGTGCTTAAACACACAAACACACACACACACATACATGTGCGGTTTTAGCTTATTTTAACTGTACAGTAGTTCAGGGATATTAGTTTTTTTGTAATATTATGTTACCATCACTACTGTCCATTTTCAGAACTTGCTTATAATCCCAATTTTGATCCACTACACAATCAGTCATTACTTTTTCCTCCAGCCCCTGCTAGTCTCTTAGGCTGTTTTTTTTTTTTTTTTTTTTTTTTTTTTTCTGTTCATGAATTTGCCAGCTCTAGATGTTTTACATGAGCAAACTCTCTGGCGTCTGGCACCTTTTCACTCAGTATGGTGCAGCAAGTATGTAAACACTCATTTTGAAGCCTGGTGTGTGTGCGTGCACCATGTTGTGTTTATACAGGCATCCGTTGGTGGCCACATGGACTGCCTCTATCTCTGGCTAACCTCTGAGGCCATCCCTGCCCCCTCCCCCACCCATTTTAAAAATAAATAAAAGTGATCTTTCCACCTAGAACTCCCTCTCTTGATGTATGCTTCTTAGGTCTGATCTGATCTGGGGAGCCCAGCATATTTGCTTGGCCTTGTGCTCACTGGGTAAAGGCCTACTTAGTGAGACCTGCCCTGTAGTCCTCCAAAGCCTTGCAGGGTACCCCACTCTCCTCTGCATATACTTCATGTTGGTCTGGCCTTTAGACTTACCACTTGTTGTGTGTGTGTGTGTGTGTGTGTGTGTGTGTGTGTGTGTTTCTGTCAACTTGATACAAGCTAGAGTTATCTGAGAAGAGGGAACCCCGACTGAGAAAAATGCTTCCCTGAATTAGCCTGTAGGCAAGCCTGTGGGGCATTTTCTTTTTTTTTTTTTTTTTTAATTTTAAATTTGTTATTTATTACAATTTATTCACTTTGTATCACAGCTGTGGCCCCCTCACTCATCTCCTCCCAACCCCATCCTCCTTCCCTCTTCTCCCCCTATGCCCCTGCCCTAGTATGTTTGTCCAGCACACTGTGGTGGGGCCCTCCCTGAGCAGGTGGTCAGCAGCTGTATAAGAAAGCGGGCTGAGCAAGCCAGGAGGAGCAAGCTAGTAAGAAGCACCCCTCCATGGCCCCTGCATTAGTTTTTGCCTCTAGTCCCTTCCCTGAGCTCCTTCAGTAAGGGTCTGTGACCTGAGAGTTGTAAGCTGAAATGAGCCTCTTTCTCCGCAAGTTGCTTTTGATCTTGGAGTCTTATCACAGCAGTGAAAAACTAAGTCACCGCTCACAGTTGTTTTGCTTGCAGAGTGTCCGAAGCTCCGGCAAGCTTCTCAAGAACCTGCATCTGGACCTTGGTGCCCTGGGAGGTAACTTTGAGTACGAGGTAAGAGCCTGAGGCCCTTGCTGCTAAATGCCTCAGGCCATATCTCCCCCCGCCCCCTTCCTAAGCTTTGCAGTCTTTGGAACATATTTGGAAAGGGAACTGGTCTGTTGGGGTCTGCCCAGGATTTCTGGGGTTCAAGGCATCCTTTCGTTTTCTCAGCTATCAAATGACCCAGTTCTTGGAAGTCCTTGCACTAGCAGGTGCTTTGAGCATGAGATATGCATACTTCCCCTCGTACACTACATGGGGAAGAGATTTCTTGCCTAGACACCAAGCAAACCTGGCAGAGGAGATGACATTTGCCCTGGGTTTTGAAGAGAGGCTAAATTTTAGACAGTGGATAGTCTAGGTAAATGAATAGCCCAAGCGAAGATTTAAGGATGGAGAAAAGCAAATGGGCAGGAATAGCTTCCAAGTTCCCATCCTGTTGCTGCGGGCTGGCCTGCGCTGCCACCAGCATGTTCTTCATGGCTAGCACACGGGCATGTGTTGGAGCCTGGACTTAGAAATCATAGGAACCTCTCCTGTTGTATGTTCTCTGTTCAGTGTCTGATTTACTAATTTTTAAACAATTAACAGTTCTCTAAATAGTCTCCAAATTTTTGTTATAAGCAACGAAACATGAAGTTGCTAATTAGATTCATACAGACATTTAAATACTGACTGCAAGGTCTAAACCCCATACAAGTCTTATATATTATTATTATGTTTTTATTAGTGCCTTTCACACCTTAAAGTCCAAATCACATTTACGTCATTAGAATGGCCATAAAGCCAGCCAGAAAAGCAAAGGTGCCCCCATCACAAATTACAGTTGGTTTCTTTATTAACCTTATTCTTTGTGTGTATGTGACTATGTGTGACACATGTACATTTGCTGGAGCATATGCTGAAGTGGAGGCCAGAGGAGGACATTGGGTGTCACTCTACCTAATTATTCCCTCAAGAATAAATGAGCCTGGCTCTAGGCTGGTGGCCAGCATGCCCCACTGATTCTCTATATCTTCCTCCCACAGTCCTGGGGTCACAGGTGCATGGCCACACCTGACTTTTTACATGAGGGTTCATGCTTGCCTAGCAAGCACTCTTACCGTCTGAGACATCTCCTCAGCCTCTAATGTTATTATTATTTGTTTTGCTTTTTTGAGATAAAGTTTCTCTGTGTAGCCTGGCGCTGTCTCCGTCTACATGCTGGCTGACAGGCTCTGTATTGGTACTTGCGACCTCACTGTGGGTGCATCTTTAAGGGGACTCGACTCTCTCTTTGGGGCAGGACCCATTGCATAGTAGAGCATTGCTTATTATCCCAGAATCTGCCCGGCCTTTTGGTTCTGCACAGCCAGATATGTTTTGATTGTGACTTTAGTGCTTTGTGCCAAACGTAGCACTTTCCCCAACTGTCCCATCTGGATCTCCAATCTGATACATGTCTGCCTTAAAACTGTTCCTTCTGAGCAGAGCTAGCCTGCTTGAGTAAAGAATTCAGTGTGATTCTCTGACAGGGGGACTTTGTTTTCTTTCCACCCACCATCACCTAGTGTGGACTGACTGGTGGACTCAAAGGGAGGTGCTCAGTTTGCACCTGGGAGGATGTCTGTGATGAGGAGAAGGGTTGTCAGGAAGACTTGCACGTTTGAAGAAAGAGGGTGGTTCTGGGGAGTGCAGCAACTTGGTGCTACATAATTTATGTCTGTGTACCCAGCACCCAGCCCACTGCCTGGGACACAGGGAGTGCTTTGCGGTGTTTGGTTTAACAGCTGAAGGCATGGAGTGTTTCTTCCTTCCCTTAGCTCGCTCAGGGTCTGGGTACAGTATTTGTTCCCTACAGTCAGCGGTGGATTGAAATTCCACTGTAGCTTGATCATGATTACTTCGTAGTGGAGTACAGATGTCAACAGTATTTTCTTTTTTGATGTGATCTGGACTCCTGAAGTTTTCCCTTTGGGAGGAGGGGTGGGAGGAGCAGGAGAGTTTTAGACATTTGAATGGCTTGTGGGGAGTGGCTGCAGTAGGTGATGCTTGGACACCTCTCACTCCTGTCTCACTCCGCCACATGGGGTGTTGGAGTCCTATGATCTAACCTCAGGTAGGTATTAGGGCTTTTTCTTGAGGGAGATGTTAATGCTGGAGATAAGTGTAGGTTTCTAGGTGGGCAAAGCTGCCTCCACTTGGGCACAGACCTTTGAAAATGGCTTTTGTCCCAGAGTACAATTATGCCCCGCCTCTCACAGTTAGCTCCTGGTGCAGCCTCTTCCAGGGCTCACTCTGCACTGTGTTGCTGAGCAGTCATTTTGTTCTTATTTCCATGAGAGGGCAGTAGGATAGCAAGAATGCAGCTCTGTCAGTGTCTCCCTCCTCTGCTTTCCAGCCTAAACCCATTGCTAGTCTGTTACAGACTAACAGGGAAAGGTTCGTGGAACCCGCACAGAAGGCTTCTGAGGGCGGGGAGGCAGAGGGTGGTGAGCAGGCAGTCTGTGGTCATGTGGTGCTGATGAAAAGCCATCAGCTGTCAAAGGAGAGGGAGGGTGCCTCGGCTTAGAAATCACAGGATGATGTCAGTGTGACTGCAAAGTACTAGCTACGCCCGGGGAGCTGGGCAAAGAATTGAGACCAACTGAATGGGCATGAGACCCGGAGGGGTCTCTCCAGAACAGTATGAATGTGTGGACATGCTGTTGAGGCAGCCTCCCTCATCCCCTGTGATTTTCCCCTCCCGTCCTATGTGCATCATAGGAGCCAACGCTTTCATGCTCTGGGCAGGTGAGGGGGTCAGACTGCAATCTGAGGTGGGGGCGGGGCTCATGACTTTTTAAAAGTGTTAGATATTCACAAAGTGGTCCTGACTGTCACTGCTCTTCACCCTCTTCTCGTGCAGATGGCAAAGTCTTGAAATATGCCTCGATGCTAAAGGACCTGGGGCCGAGGCAGGGGGAGGTTTGGGAGTACGAGCATGAGGGGCGTGGGGCAGAGCTATGTACACACAGAGCCTGGAGCAAGAGCCTGTACACGGGTGCCTGGAGTGTGCATACGCTGGGGGCTGCAGGCCCTAGGCCTGGTGACATGCCAAGGACAGGGGCTAGGTGAACAGGGCAAATGTGAAGTCAGCTGAGATACAGATTTCCTGCATCCTTTCGTAGATGAGAGACAGCTAGTGTTTAACTTCTCCTGCTTCTCCACCCATTTCTGGCTGTGCTGTCAATGTAGTCAATTGATGTGGATACAGGCCAAGGGCATTTATTTTATTTTATTTTAAGGCCATTTATTTTAATGGCTGCCCTATTTTTAGCAATTTTATGTTTAGGTAGGCAAATTGAGACCATCCAGTCACATGGAAATCTACCTTTTTGGGGAGGGGGCGGGCTGCTAATGGTGGAAGCTGGGACATTATGCCTTAAGCACACACTCAGCTGTGCCCCAAGCTGAAATTCATCCTTTGAAGGGTTTAAGCTTGAGGCAGGGAGAGGTTGGGAGTATGAGCAGGAGAGGCGCAGAGCAGAGACGTGCACCCACAGAGCCTGGAGAAGGAGCCGCTGAGAGCTGCCTGGATGAAGCTCCAGAGTGTTGTAGGTGTGTTCTCTCCACTGTAACTATGGGAATCTAGGGGTTAGAGAGGTGGTTAGGATCACTCACTGTTTTCCCCAGAGATCGCTCAGGGTTGATTCCCAACACCCATATCAGGTGGCTCACAACTGTTTGTAATTCCAGCAGATCTTATGCCCTCTTCTCGTCTCCATGGGTACCCATACACACACAGACAGGCAGGCAGATGGGTGGGCAGACAGACGGACACACGACTAAAACAAAATCTTAAAAAAAAAAAAAAAGAATGAGAATCCACCTAAATCTGGTATCCTCTCCTTCCCTACCCCCCTCAGTATTGGGACTAGAGCCCGGTCTCAGGTATACTAGGTACTAGCTGTACTATTGAGCTGATCCCAGCCACTGATACCCTTTGAGTTTAAACATTTTTAGTTTAATTATTATTTTCTTTCTTTCTTTCTTTCTTTCTTTCTTTCTTTCTTTCTTTCTTTCTTTCTTCTTTCTTTCTCCTTCCTTCCTTCCTTCCTTCCTTCCTTCCTTCCTTCCTTCCTTCCTTCCTTCCTTCCTTCCTTCCTTCCTTCCTCCCTCCCTCCCTCCCTCCCTATCTATCTATCTATCTATCTATCTATCTATCTATCTATCTATCTATCTATCTATCAAGGCAGTGTCTCATAGTGTTGCCTTGACTGGCCTAGGGCTTGCTATATAGACAGGGCTGGCCTTGAATTCACAAAGATCTGCCTGATTCTGCCTCTGGGATTGAAGGCATGCACCACCATACCGGGCTACCCTCTAAGTTTTCATGGTCTACTTGCTTTTCCATCATTTTTAATAGCTAAGAGTTAACATTTCACTTAATGTGCACTGTAATGAAATAGGTTAACCCCCATATGACCTTGGCAAATAAATATTGCACCTCCATTTGGGAGAGGAGTTTAGGAAGCCTCACCTCTTACCACTGCCCCCCATACATGTCCTTTCTGTTTTGTTTTTGAGACAGTGTTTCTCTGTGTAGTCCTGGCTATCTTGCAAGTTGCTCTGTAGACCAGGCTGGTCTCAAACTCAGACATCCACCTGCCTCTACTAGGATTAAAGATGTGCACCATCACCACCGGGCATGACACATGCATTCTTAAAAAACCAAAAATAATAACAACAAAAACCCTTAAAACTCAGTCAAGACTTTACTGAACACCCTTATATGCCAGAAACTGGGTCCTGAGCTCAATAGAAAGTTCCTCTAGCGAAAAAAATAAGCAAAGAACCTGCCAACTATTATAGCTATTGTGGTAGAGAAAGAGCAAGGATCCAGGGATCAAAGACCAAGGAAGGCTTCCTGGGAGAGGTGAAGCTGAGAGGACCAGTGGTAGTTTGTCAGGGGATGGAGAGGGGAAGTAATTCTTCCAGGAATAAGTGGCTTAGTGGTAGAGTCCAGGCTTAGCATGTGCCAAGTCTGACCTCTTTAACAACAAAGAGAATATGCATATCAGAGTAGAGAAATAGGACAAACAGGAGGAGATGTAAGATATGGCTGGGATGAACTGTGAGCAGCAGGGAGGGCTGGGGCCAGCTGAGACGGTGCATACTTTGTCCTGACACTTCCTCTGTCTCCTAATCCAAAATTTGTTGCTAGGTAACCCTTTAAGACTATGTTTCATGCCCAGATTGAAGTGGGAGGACAGGAGAACCTCCTTAATTCCAAGATGAGCCTGACTAGCATGGACTGGCTTAAGTTGCTGAATGAGTCATGTGGTGAACACGCGCACGCACACACACACACACACACACACACACACACACACACACACACACACGTGCGCACTCACCCATCCACGCACACACACACCCATGCACTGTGCCCCCTGCCTTTCTAAAGAGAAGGGGCTCACGCACCCCTTTCTGTCAACTCAGGGATCCAGCAGTTTTCTCTGTCTGAGTGTTGACAGTGATAAGAGCTTGCTGGTTAGCATGTGCCTTCTCCACCTCACCCGCTTTTCTTCCAGGAACAGCTTGGTAACAGCGTCACACCTGCCTCTTTGGTTTGGTCCATGTGGGACACTTTACCTTTTTTCAGTGTTAGCCTAGTGCCCTGCAGGCAGGATCCTTCTGGTCACCTCTTGTTCCCTAAGGTAGTGTGCCCCTGGCACACCAAGGACGCCCAGAGGATGAGTGTGTGGCTCTCCCCATCACAGAATGTTAGTTATCGTTTCTGGGGCACCGACAGTGTAGACAGGCGCAGCTCTGAGTTCCCTATCTCACTTAAATGAGTGCCGAGATTGCACCTCCCGCCTCCCTTTACCATTCTTGGGGAGCCCAGGTTGGCCTGTCAGTCGGCTGCCAGATCTGCAGCAGTTCTGTCTTCACTGTGCTGGAACAGCAGACGCATGTTGGGGCCTTCTTGAGCTGCCGGCTTGCCTTGTGGTGCTTGGCTTTCCACTGTCATAGCGAACCATCTGAATTAAACCTTAAGCCATATCAAGAGAAGGCTTATATCTGCCTGCAGTTTTGAAGTTGAAGGCCATGATTGATTAGCCCCCCTGTTTTGTGTCCTGGCGAGGCGGCACACCATGGCAGGACCATGTGGCACGGCAGAGGTGTTCACATCATAAGCCAAGGAGCAAAGAGAAGAAGGGCACCGAGGCCCCTCAGCCTCTTTCAGGGGCATGCCCCCAGGAACCCCCAGACCTCCTGTTCCTAATGGGAACATTAGGGTCCCGGCCCTAAAATTTCCACCCCCTCCCACCCTTCCACCCTAAGGAAAGCTTCCACCACATGGGCCTTTTGGGGGACACTTCAGATCCAAACTAAAGCACTAATCACACTATTGGTTTTAATCTTCAGGACAGGGAATCAAGGAGCCTTAACCAGCCCCCTCAGGAGTTGTTCAGCCTGACAGCCTCAGTGCCGACACAGATGTTTCTCTGGAAGGAGGCCCTGAGCTTGAGCTCAGGAAAGATCCTTGGCTGAATTTCTGAGGGAGGCCTTTCTGTCCCTGCCTGTCCCTTGGTCAGCTCTGGGAAGAATTTAGTAGAAGTCTTGGGTTGTCACTAGTGATTTTGAATGCGAAAAACAGGGTGTGGCCACTGGGTTAAGTGTTCAGTTCGGCTTTCCTTTCAGGAGATCCAGCCGAAGTGGAGGTTTAGAAAATTGATAGCTGCCAGCTACTGGCCCTTTTGGTGACAGGTCCCAACAGGGGTTTGGGACCAAGGCCTTTCCTGTCCAATGTGGGACTTCTGTGACAGCAGCCACTTGAGCACTCTGCTTGGTTCAGATTTTCCCAGAACTGCCCTGTGCTGGTCTTTGTCTCCATCACAGGCAATGACCTGTCTGTTTCAAGGCCCTCCCTCCTCTGTCACCTCTGTCAGGTCTCTTACCCAGCCAATCCCATCTGGACACCTGCTTCTCAGGGACCCCAGGCTGTGAGTCCTGGACAGATGATGCTGTCCGCGGGGTTGCTGATGGGACCGGAGGAGGTGACAAATGATGGCAGAGTCACAGTAATTTCTAAGCCCCTCACGTACAGTTCCCGAGCTGGATGTATCTCTGCTACCATAGAATTCCCATTCTCTTTATCTAGATGTGAGTCAGGGGGCAGCAACTGGTGTTTTGCAAAGCTAGTTGGGTGACTAAGTGATGGCTCAAAGTACATAAAAGCACAAATTGCTTTTGCACGGGACCTGAGTTTGGTTCCCTGTACCTGTATTGGGTAGTTCAGAACTGCCCATAATTCTGGTTCCAGTAGGAGCCAACACCTCTGGCCTCTACAGACACCTGCACCCACCCACATCCATAGTTAAAACAATATTGTTTAACACTTTGCTTGGGAGGGCCAGGGAGACAGCTTAGTGGGTAAAGTGGTTGCTCTGCAAGCATGTGGACATGAGTTCTGATCCCTAGCACTCACTTAAAAATCCAGATATGGCACTGTAACCCCCGTGGTGGCAGGCAGCAAAGAGAAGGTGGATCCCCAGAACATGCTGGCCAGTTAGTGACCAAACTGGTGAGCTCTAGATTCAGTGAGAACACATACACACAGAGCTATATGGGATACCATTAGGGTCAGAGCTCCAACAGGAATCAAAAGAGTCAAGGAATGGCCACTCTCTTCTGTCAGTTTCTAAACTTTGGCTCCTTTCTGACACCGTCTTTGTTCTTCAGGAGTCTCCAAGAACCAGCCAGCCAGACAAGAAGGATGCTTCTCTGGACTCAGATCCTGCTCGGCCCCCCACTCCTGGCAAGCTGTTCAGCCAGGGTGCAGACAATAGTGTGGACAGTGCCAATGACAGCAGGTTCCGGGGAAGAGGGGCAGGTCCCTGGAACCCACTGAACGAAAATGAGAACTGTAATCTCAAGACTTCTGCAAGTCAAGGGGCTCCTGGGTTGGACCCTGAGGGTGATCAGGCTGCCAAGGTCTCTAAAAAGGAGCAGGCAGAGGACCTAGTGGAGACAGGAGAGGAGGATTCCAGGAAGGGAAGTGCAGCCAAAGAACAGAAGGAGGCTTCTGCCCTGGAGGAGACCATTTCAGAAGCTGCTGGTGAGGTAAGCCCCTCGACCCAAGGCAGTTGCCAACTACAGCCTGTTGCTGCTGTCGCCAGCCCCTTACAGCTTCCTGCCCCCATGTCTGGATCTCTGAGTCCAGAGCCACGTTCAGCTTTCAACATCTGCCAGAACCCTTCATTGTGACAAATATGCCCAGACCCAGCAGGCAGTAAAATCCCGAATGAAACTGCAGAGCTGCTGGCACTGGGAATTCAGAGCAGAAGTGTACTTTTCCCCGGGCATCTCCGGGGATATTTTTGCTCTTTGTTTCTCCTCATTCCTTCTCTCCGCCTATGTGTTGTCTTGCTTTGCTGCAGTCTGAGTTCCTATAAAGTAGGATAGGGGTGTGTGTGTGTGTGTGTGTGTGTGTGTGTGTGTGTGTGTATGTATGTATGTATGTATGTTAGGGTGGGGTGAAGGCTACCAGAGTTACGTGTTCTATACCAGCCTGGGTAAGTCAGATTACAGAATGACTCTTCTCATCCATTTCTATGACAGTTTGCTGTACCAGTCCCAAACATGCAAGTGGTTGTATTCAAAGATTACCCAAAAACCAAAGTGGTCAGAAGTAGGTCTGTGTGTATGTGTATATATGTAAGTATATCTGAATGTGTGTATGTATACATACATATATGTATATATGCATGTGTGTACACAAACAAAAACACACACATCCACACACCGTGCATGCACATGAGTTATACACACACATTAAGACCCACTTTATTTTTTAAGATAGCATGGCTTCTAACTGCTGACTCTCTGTCTCCACTGTTCTTAACTCCCCCTTCCTGTCTAAATCCTGCAGCTCTGATCTGCTTGTGCTTGTCCACTATCAGCACAACCAAGGCGTACCTAGCCCCATTCTTGTATCTGTTAGTTTTCAGAATGCCTAGATCTTTGTCTTGGGCTCAGTCCTGTGCCAGCCCCTGTGGCTGGATAGGAATTCCATGGACAGAAGCCCTCAACAGCTGGGGGTTTTCTCTGGGTTGTATCTCTGCAGGAATCAGAGATCCTTGAGCGCTTGAAGGACCCACAGCTCTCAGAGTCTGAAGCTTCTGAGCCCAAGTCTTTCCTTGGCCTGGTGAGTTGGAGTGAGGGCAGCAGGGCCATGTGGAAGAGCTCTGCTTCCCTTCTTCTCAAAGAAGCATTTTCCCAGTGGCCACACAGCTGGGGTCAACATTAGCTTTCGTTAGTTCTGGTTCTCAGCTCAGTAGCCAGGGCTAGGTAGCGCTGCCTATGTCATCAGTTTGCCGTAGGAGCTGAGTGAGGCGGAGCACAGACACTGTGAAGTGCTGACATTACTGCCCTGGCTTCGGGTGACTTGTCTGCGAGGCCATCGACAGGACTGTTAAATCCAGGAGGCTCCAGGCTGTTCTAGGCCACTGAGCCATGCTGAGAGTCGAGTGACCTGCACTGCCAGATCACTCGTGATTTCTCTTTTCTAGACCTTCCACCCAGCCTGCTGGATCTCAAGTCCATTTGCCAAGTCTGAGTCCTAAAGGGAAGATTCAGCTACTTTTGGCCCATTGTTGCCTCTGGATGTTCCCCTCCATCTGTTCGGAGGAGGAGGGTATGAGGGAAGGGATTAGTGGGAGAGGGTCAGGGATGAGCAGAGAGGATAGGAGGGGTGCAGAGGGTTAGACAGTGGAGTGCTTTGGCCCCACACTGAGCCGTGGGCTTTGGAAGCAGATGGCAGCTGCATTAGATGGAGTAGAAATCAAACGGAAGGGAGAATACCAAAATCCAAGTAAACCCCACAAACAAGAAAGGCTAGAAAGGTAAGCAAAAAATAAAATAAAATAAAATAAAATAAAATAAAATAAAATAAAATAA